ATATATTCTACTCAGATTATTTTACTACAGGAAAGTAACTCTTCCTATAAGACTACATTTTATGACAGCCTTGAAAGGAAGGCTTATTTCTGAAGAAGGCAACTGGATTACTAACTGAGCTGAAATGACATGTACGCTGTTTGTGCTTGCAGTCACACCACCTTAGGCTATGATTTCATACAGTTAAGCAAGGCTGGGCTTGGTCAGTACTTGGATAAGAGAGTTACAAAAAGTCCGCTGCAGGAAGTGGTTTTGGTGATTCAGTAGGCTATACTGAATAATTGGGCTTCAGTGCCAAATGTGATGGAGACACTGGTTTCTGTGTCTCTCATTTCTATGCCATGGTCTTGGTGCCCTACAAAATCGAAGTTTTTAAAGACTCCAAAGCTATTTCCATAAGCACGAATCTTGAACATTAAATCCTTGTCCAATGTGAATGTACTATGTCTGCCTACAGGTTTTTTTAATGAGTGTCGCATAATTGGATAAACTACGTAGCTGATTAGTACTGGTAAATTACCACCCAAAACAGCTGTTAGACTTTACAATGTGAAAAAGGTTCTGCTTGTATGATAGACTTAAGGAGGGCTGGTGTGCTTCAAAGCTGGTCTTCTTCCAGCTATGGCAGTTGGTCTCATAAAAGATAATGTCTGAAATTTTACATTCTGCATCCTGAGCTCATCATTAAAACTGGAGCCTTATAGTGAATCTGATAGTGGGCTTTTAAAAGACATTGGGTTTGCCATTTAACTGTTCACTGGAGTCTGAAAAGTATGAAGATAAAAGTGATCTTTATTACCTCTTCCTTTGACTTGATAGCTTGAATAAGAGTTTGAACACCTTTTCCCCTCTCCAGCCTCTTGCTCCCCCAAACCAAACACTGTGTACACACACACACCCACCCTTAGAGATTCAGTAGGGGTTTCTCATCAGTTAGGGCTTCTCATATAGGGTTGCTGGCAGGGTTGAGACCTTAAATTAGGCTTTTATATTCATTTCCATGAGTTACAGAAATTTAATTTTTCATAAGAGCAAAGGTATAGGGCAAAGAAGTCATTGTATGTATCAATACATTCTTGGATAAACATCACTTGGCTGCTATTCTCATCCTTGTAACTCATGACAGTTCTAAAAATCCATATACCACAGAAATAAATATTATACTTATCAGACTTGCTTGGAGTTCTCTGCAGGAGAGATTGCTTTTCCTCCTAAAGAAGGCAGTATAATAATCTGAAATACTGATTACTCTTATTTCAAATATAATTTGCAATAAATGGCTCTTACAGATGAATGTTTTTTTTCAAAGCAGAACTATTATTAAATGCTTTTCAAACTGAGAATAAATTACAAGTTTTTTGTCATCTCCAGCTTTACTCAAGAAAAGCTACATAATACTTATCTGTGAGCTCTACAAATTTATACAATTATCACATAAAATTGTCTTCAGGAGAAGAACTCAGAGAGTTGCAATTCTGAAAAGTAAGACAATCTAAATGGTGCAGGCTTTAACTTGTTCTTATAGTGAAGGTATGCACAAACATTCATGTCTACAAGTATTCATTACAGGGAGTTTACAACATACCTCCCCGTAGCTATCAAAAGCTGCTCAGTACTTTCACAAACAAATTCAGATAACACACATGTCCCCACACCCCTATCACAGTTAGGTAATATCTCTCTCCTCTTGACTGGTTGTGTAGCAGTGTAAGGGCAGGGAGACTGATGGTTCGTAAAGGGCACACTGAAAAGTAGGCCAAGTCTTACCTTGGATAGGGAAGAGGTAGCAACAGTTAATTTCTGACCTAGAGGCTAGCTAGAGAAGAATACCTCCAAGTGAGCCAAAGGATGCAACCTAAAGCATTCTTTGATACTTTCCTGAGCATGAACAGATTAGAATTTGTTGCAATTAATTTGATGATGACAAATTTTCCTTTACCTCTGCTGAGACAGCAGGGCTGGGCATTGGCAAGATACAAAAAAAACCAAAAGAACTGTCACTATTCTCACTACAAAAGTAAGCCTGCTATAAAAGCTTGGCTATTTTTGTCTGAGATGAAAAAGCCTTGAAATGTTAATGTTCTTGGTGCCAGTCTACCTTTCTTCACAATTCTTAAGACTGTCTTTAACAGTTGATCCAGTTCGGTAATTCAAGAAAGAAAAGAAGGTTTGTGAACTTTGGAGTGTAGAGAGGTCTCACTATGAGCTGTAATGCTCCAGGAATGTTGTGAGAAAATGTAAGAGAAAAATTAATTGCTAGGAAATTCAAGCAGTCTATTCCACTCTCAGAAAGGAAGAAGGAAGGAAAGGAAGTGCAAACAGGAAGTAGCTGAAGCACCTCAGACCATTACACTGGAGTGACTACTCTGGAATGGGATTGGACAAATACCTGGAACCTCCATTTTTGTATAATTCAAAGAAGTACTCCCTACAAATAGTCTTTTCAGTGCTCTCATATAGAGAGTGATTGGACTTATTTCAGAAAAGACTGCCACAGATTAAAATCTCAACATCCCTTGTCATTGGATTTCCTTGTCCATTGTCTGCATTTGACCAGATTTGAATTATTACTATGAATTATTGCAGCATATCTTTTTACAAACATTTAGGAATACTTTACCTTTGTTTTTGGTGGACATTAATCTTTACAGAAGAGTGAGTATTCGCTATAAAGAGGGTTATAAAGCAGGAACCAGAAGTGGCATTGGTGTCATTGTTTGGGGGTCTGAATAATAAACATTTTCTGTACTTGTTTTCTTTTTCAGATGATACTGTATTAAGCAACAGGCTTCCTATGTGGAAACATAGAAGCAAGGGGTATCAGAGGCCTCACAGTTGCCTTTTCCCATGTTGAAATTGGGTATTTTATTTCTCCATTTTGTCTTCTGCATCTTCACATTTTTTAAACAAGAGAACTGTTTTCCCACCTGTCCTGGGTTCAGCAGTAGCAGTCATTTTTCTCCTTCTTGGTAGCTGGTGCAGTGCAGTATTTTGACTTTCGGCTCGGGAACAGAGCTGATAACAGTGATGTTCTGGTTTGGCCAAGGACTTTGTGAGCCTCATGCTCTGCCAGGGAGGAGGGGAAGCCGGGAGGAAGCAGAGACAGGACACCTGACCCAAACTGACCAAAGAGGTATTCCATACCACAGCACGTCATGCCCACGAGGTAACTGGGAGTTAGCTGGAAGGGCTGGGAGTCTGCAGGGTTGGAGGAGGTATCAGTCAGTGCTTGGTCAGGCGGGGGGGGGGAGTTATCGGTTGGCTGGTGTTGAGGTGTCGTATTCTTTTCCCTTGTTATTTCTTTTATCATTGTTATTATTGGTGGTAGCAGTAGTGATTTGTGTTCCGGGTGGGACTCGTTTCTTGGCCAGTGGTATTGTATTCTTTCTCTGATGGCCTGAAGTGCCATGGGCCCACTCAAAATAATTCACCATCCCCTTCAGCAGTTTCTGCAGCTTGTTGCTGGGGACTCCATACAGCTGCCTTCCATCTCAGACGCTTCCAAAGCACTGGAGGGGCCCAGCGGACTAGATACTTGCCCATACTGTCCCACACACCCTGCCACTCATGGCTGTCCAGCCTCAGGGGAAATCTCTTGGTCCTCCTACATCGTCGTTTGACCCCAGACAAGACCCAAACCTGACTCTGCTTAACTCTTGAAATCAGTCGTGGGCAAAACACACTCTGTATGCGTGCTAGCATGGTGATTCCCATCACGATCAGCAAACAAGTCTCAACAGCATTAAAAGGCCATTCAAAAACTTCAAAACTCTCAAATGTAAATGGTCTGGGGGGAGGATTGGGAGGGTAAAAGGATGTCTCCTTCACAGGTTGAGCACCTGAGAAGGAGAAAAAAGATGTGTAATTGCTAAGTACTTCTATTATATACCTCCCAAAGTATAAAGGTGGTGACCACACTGGGAACATAAGCCAGATCAGTTTCATGATCAATGATTCTATTGTATTACAAGTCATTACCATAAAGTACAATGAGACAAAAACCTTAGCCCAAGCCCCAACCTTGAAAAACATTAATACAGCAAATACCGGATGGAAGTAAGATACGATATACTGAAACTGTGAGATCAAGAGGAACAACCTTGAGAGCCAATAAATCAGCATTGTGACGAGTGACTATTAATCCGGTCAGATCTGTTGTTATCTCAACCCCTCGTGTCCTATCTGGGTCGCCAAAAAGAACTGTTGTGGTTTAAACCAAACCAGACAACTTGTTCACTCACTTCCCCTCCCTTCCTGCCCTCCCCCTACTCCTGGAGGGACGGAGAGGAGAGTCAAAAAGAATGCAACTCCCACGGGCTGAGATAAGAACAGTTTAGTAACTAAGGTACAACACAAATCACTACTGCTACCACCAATAATAACAATGATAAAGGAAATAACAAGGGAAGAGAATACAACACCTCACCACCAGCCAATCGATAACTCGCCCCCCCCCAGCCCGACCAAGCACCGACCGATACCTCCTCCAACCCTGCAGACTCCCAGCCCTTCCGGCTAACTCCCAGTTACATCCTGGGCACGATGTGCTGTGGTATGGAATATCTCTTTGGTCAGTTTGGGTCAGGTGTCCTGTCTCTGCTTCCTCCCAGCTTCCCCTCCTCCCTGGCAGAGCATGAGGCTCCCAAAGTCCTTGGCCAAACCAAAACATCATTGTTATCAGCTCTGTTCCCGAGCCGAAAGTCAAAACACTGCATTGCACCAGCTACCAAGAAGGAGAAAAATGACTGCTACTGCTGAACCCAGGACACCACCTTAGGGTGATTTAACTTGTACCTAAAGCCTCTTCTGCTGTCCTTTGTCAAAGACCTTGGATATGGCTATATCCTTAATGTGTCTCCAGATAATTTTATTAAGCTACAGTTTTCTACTGCAGGAGGCTTGCTGAAATAGTCTTAACATACTAGGTTTCTCTTTATGTTTCGTATTGCAATAGTTTAAATCAAGCTGTTACTGAATAAAGACTCACCAAAATTCTCAAGACTATTCACTAGGTTTATTAAAAGATTAGAAAAAAAACTATTTGCGGCTTTCCAGTTTTTTTGAGTATTAGTGAAAAAATATAATTCTGGTTTGAAAGCTGTTGTTAGCGAGAAAGTATCGTTTGTTGGAAACTTAAAATGCCACTTTGTTATTAAGCATCTTCAGAATTCAAAACATCAAGAGAAACCCAACTATTCTTAAGTTACGTAACTTCATTCAGCAGTTTTTCTGTTATAGGATTTTCTCTTCTAATACCTAAAGCTTTGTCTCTCTTGTTTCTTGTATTTAGAAACAGCAAGAGCAGGAGAGTACTGGGAAAATACTAGATAGAAGTAAATGTAGGGTCCAGCTTTTCAAAAGAAAAGTGGACTTTAACAATTAATATTTCAGGTAAAATTCTGAACTTACTGAAGTTAGAAAGAGCTTTGCTAATGACTTTATTGAAGCCAGATTTTTAATCTTCTTATATTACCTTTCTTGTATGATAAAATAATCAAACAAACTTTTGAAAACATTACTGTTCTGGTATATGTTTCTGGCTTGAGCTGTTAAGGGAGCTATTTGCTTTTTGAAGCAAGGGGAAAAGAAACTTGAACAGCTGTTTCCCCTGTGGTGCTGGTCACTACACAGCATACAGGACCATGCTTATTGTAACCTGAGAATCCCTTCCAGGCCTTGCCTGAGAAAAGCAGCAAACCAAGACACAGACCCATCAAGCCTCCAGCTTTGACCTTCAGCCTGTGACTTGGCCCATAAATATCAGTTCAGCGTATCATCCAGCAGATCACAAACTGGCTCTAATCCAGTAAGCATCTACCTCTAGTGAATCTGATTTTGTGAAGGAGTTCTAGCAGCATCCCATTGCAGTAAGCAAGGAAGAATACTGCTTGGCACTGCCTTGTGCTCAGATAAAACCATTAAGTGACAGACTCCCAGTAGGTTTTTTCCATCATTTCTCTTGCCTGCCAAGTAACACCATGTGTCAGATGTGTCCTTTGTCTTGGTGGAGGACATCATTTAAATAATCTGGTTAAAAAAAAAAAACAGCAAAAGGAGCTTTTAAACCAGAATCATTAGTATAATAGCACAGCCCCACAAACCCTCCATTAGAGTATCTGAAGTACTGGCAAACCTTGGCAGGAAAGGCAAAAGTGATGGGCCCACAAAAGCCAAACCAAAAAAACCTTAAACCATGTTTCATTTTAAAACAAAGCCATCAGTGGTACCTATCTGACATTTTCAGTAGTGAAAGGGATCAAACTTTTGGGGAACTAGCACAAGCACAGTAACCAAAACCTTATTTAATATGATACAAATGCTGTTCAGGCCTCAGTTGCATGAGGAAACTGTATAATGAACTTATAGCTACAGGATAAGTGCATTCCTGGACTAATTCTAGAATTGACACAACACATTTTCCTCATTCAAAACTTGTTTATCACTGAAGAGATTGTTTATCAAACCTGTTTATCAACTAAAAAAAAAAGATAAAAAAACAAACACAGAAAAGGTAATTGTGATTTAACAGTGTCTTTTGTGTTAATTTTATTTTCCTCCCTCAGGAAAGCTGCATAGCGAAAACATAAACTCTTCACCTGCACAGGAAAGATTTAAACTTTGAAGTGATTCTTTGGTACATGATGCCTGTCAGGTTTCTTTTTGCACTGTGGTTACTGTGCTGTGCATAACACCACAGTATTTTCAATGCTCTAGTGATCAAAAAGAGAAGTACAATACAGACACAATGTAAGTATTGTTATTTCCGTTAAGTACTTACGAGCTTCTGAAAATTCCAAGGGAAGTGGGAATTCCCCTTAAGGGAAGTGTATTTTTTCTGGTACTTCCATAAGCTCCTCAGAAAAAGTGGTTGTGTCAGGACTAATGGCTCAGGTCATCTTTATCCAAGCCTACACCAGAGAAGAGTAGAATCCAGCTGACAGCTCATCAGGATTCTGAGTCAGGCTGCCTGAGAAAACAGATGCTGCCAGATTTCAGTGTAGAAGGCATTTTTAAATGCTTCAGTTAAGCTAGAGCAAATTCGCATGCAGCCACTTACATTGATTTCCATTCCTAATCAGCTAAACTAAGTCAGGAAGCATAGTTTGAATGTGAACAGACAACTTTTTGGATTTCCTCAGTGCAATCAATTTAAAGTCTCATCTTTCATCACTGTGTCTGACATAGGAAAATTAAAGAGAAACAAGCTAAGGCGCGAATTTATGTCAGACTGGCTACTTTACCTTTGTCCGTTTTCAGCAAACACTTGTAATAAGTGTAATGCATCCCACTTTCAAAGTGGACTAACTAGTGAATTCTGAAGGCATTCCCTAGTCCATTTGGCAGTGGTTACCTTTGTGTATCTAATCTGTTGAAACTTGCTCACATCCCATGTGCAAGATTCATTTGTATTCTTTCATGGTTAGTACAAAGTGGGCAGAAATGTCAGGAAGCTTGATGTGGAGTATCTCCTCTAAAAGCGGTGATTGTACAGATGGAGTGTGTAGGTTAATAGGGTGCTATGTGATTCAGGTATCTAAAAGAGACTGTCCTACTATCCCATGTGAAAGTTCTCTCAGTATTTTCTTCTTTAGGAAACAAATCAGATTTTAACAGATGCTTTCACAAAAGTAAAGTAATTGGAATTTGAGCTAGAGTTATACCGTGTGGAGGCCTTGGGTGTTTCTATTTGCAAATCAGCAATGTGGTTTTGTTCTTATGTAAGTATCTGGAAATGCAAAATCAGAACACACCAGTGAAGCCATTCTTTCTTTTCCCCAACACCAAGAAAAATAACTGTGTTGCACCCTCTGCAATTAATGATGTTTATGAAGGCTGCCCCCTCCTCCTTTCCCCCCAGTCTACTTCTAGCCAAAACTAACTGGATAACAACCATTACTCCTCTTAGCTGGCCCAAATGCAGACTCTCCACCTACAACTCGGCTGCCTCATACACAGTCAGGACCAGACAGTATGCTCTGTAAAACAGCAGCAAATAGGAACCTAAAAGACAACAAAGAATACTGTCTAACAAACCTATTTTGAACTCAGTAAATGAAAATGTGTGAGCAAATTGAAACACCTTCTGCCACCCCTTGCAATTTAAAGTATGTATGGAATAGTGAACAAACAGTGTATATGTCTGGTCATATATTTCTTCTGACACTCATGTCTGTAGTTTATTCCTGGCTCATATTCAAGCAAATACAGTAGTACAATTAGTTCTAAGAAAAAGTATCAGGGACTCGTATTTGAGTTATGCTTTAAAAGGCACCGAAACAAAAGCATAAAGTGTTAAACCACATCAGTATTGATCTAGGCTCTCCTACCATTTGGGCAGACATCCTCATTATATACTAAGGTACAAAATATTTCACTAATGAAGTACATGAGTTTGTTTTCCAGCCTGAAATGGGTGATCTGAGTGTAGGTGAGGGAAGAATTTGTCCTGTTGTGCTTTCTCCTTTCAGTGATTGTTTGCTCTTTAGGTTTTGTGTTTTAGGGCTCTTCCAGGGGTTGTTTCTACTTACTCTGTGGGGGCATACAGAACCAAGGGATAAAATAGGTTCTATAAAATAGGTTCTATAAAATGGGCTGGCAAGGATCCTGCTGCCTAAATGTCTGTGCTGGAAGGGACAGGGAGTGTTTGTTGTCCAAGAAGACAATTGCATCCCTGTGCAGCCAGATACCTAACTGCTCCTCAGTAAAAAGCCGACAAAACAGATGGCTGGTGGCTATTTTGGGGTGAGAGCAGAGGGGAGGGAGAAGTTATATCTTCTTGCAGGAGCAATCTACTACTTCCACTTTCTTCACTGCAGCAGCAGGGGTTAAACCCTCAGCTCCTGAGTTTTGTCTGCACATGTGAGTTACTTTATCCTCTTTTTTTGGGTGCCAAGATACAACCTACATGCTGAGAAGCCCTAGGACAGCCCAGTGTCAGCAATGCTGGTTTTCTAAGAAATCTGCACACTTATATATTTACTGCTCAGATGATATCTTTGTTGTTTTTCCAATCGCATCTGCCTCCTGTATTTTAAGCACAAAGCAGTACAAGGATTAATGCAAGTGGAATGTGCATACTGGAACATGGCCTGTTTGTTACAGGAAGCCATTGTCACGCGTTACTGACAATCTGACATAGGCTTGATTTCCTGAATTGCAGCATAAACAGGGAAACTTACCTTTGAGGAAATATAAACCATTTATCAATGGCTAATCTCCAGGTTCTTTTCTTAACGTCAGTGAAAAACAATAATTCAGTGACAGAAATAAGTTGTTTTTTTGTCATAGGTACTCTACCCATCAGCAATACCAGGTGGATTTTCTTCAGGAAATATTTTTGCAATGCCAAAGGAATAGCACATTAAAAAAAAAAAAAAGGCATTCTGGTATCAGTGAATTTCATGGGGTTGATTTCAACTGGTACTGGAATTGGTTTAAAAACTGAAAACAGTCACTTTGGTTTCTCCCTGTGTCTCTTATGGAAGTTTCTAGACCATGTTCAGTCCATTCTTAGGCTGTGAAAGAAAGAGAAAGCTCAAGCATGCCCTAGCTTCCTACTGCTTTGTTGGCTTAAAACCTAGTCAGTATCTGGCCCAGCCTCTGTCATTTAGATCAAAATACCATTTTTAACATAAGAAGAAGTTTATTGGTGGGACAAAAATTACTGCATTGAACTGCTTTGTGAAGTTTCTTTTAAGGGACACCAGGATTACTGAGAATTCAGCTAGTAGTTAGTTTCAGTAAAACCATGAGAGTTTCTCGCTGCCATACGCATGACACAGAAGTTAGACTGAGACCCTGGGAGTGAGGATGTTAGGAGTGATCAAGGGCAGGAAAGCTGGACAAGATGCTACATTTTATTTTGCTTGAGGCTTATGAAAGCTCTGTTGCACTGCTGCCTGGGGGCTTGGCACCCTCCCTTTTTCAGCTGGCCTAATGAAATAGTCCACCTCTTCTTCTGGATGCATATGTATGTGTTGTTAGAGCATAGACAGCACTGAAAATCCCACAGTGGACCACAGACCACACTCCAAAGCACTTGGCTGATGCACTGCAGCCTGTAGAGGAGCACCCTGTGCTGAGGTTGCTGACAAGAGTTGTTGAGGCCAGGGGTGGAGAAAGCAGCAGCTGACACCAGGGGTGGCATTCAGTCTGTGAAGAGGAAGAAGGGCATGGGAACAGCAGGGATGACAATTGATACAGCAACTGAAGTATGAACAGGGTACAGGAAGGGGGGAAGGATTTCAGACAAGAACACTGATGACTTGGATTTGAGTTTGAAAGTTTTTTCCTTTTGAAAGTAAATGCCTGCTCCTCCTTACTCTAAATATACTCACTTTCAGGAGGATTTGTACCCATACCCGACTATTTATGAAGCATTTCACCAGTACTGGTCAGAAGCAACCTCCATATTTTCTGAAGATAACTTAATCTTGTTTGCATAGAGGAAGTGACTTGCACCTTTGCTGAGCATATTGCAGTTTTCAGAGAAGCAACACAATTCTAACACCTGAAAAACAGGAACCTGAATGTTTCCAATCATCAGCATTTGCAGCAGTATCAGTCAAGCAGCATGCTTCAGAAATCAGGAAAACATCTTTATCCAAGCAACATTTTCCTGTTTCTGTTTCGATTCAGATTTTTCTCTGATTCAACTCCAGAATAATCACCTTATGGCAATTGTTAGAAAGGTTGGAAGAGTTAAACCAGGGAGAATGTGGCCCTTTAGTTGGTGTTATCTGTACTTTTAGTATTCTAAAGCCAGGGGTGACACTTGATATTGTACTTAGTCAAAGCCTTTCAAGCAGTGCTCTCTGCATCAGATTAATGATGCTCAGAGTAGGCAGCAAATCAACCAAATCAATACACATGCAATAGTTCAGGTGGCTTTTTTCAAAAGAATGAAGGACTTGCTGTTACAACACCACCGGAAAGAGAGAAATATGTGGGCAGATGGCAGCAGGGCCTCGTTTGGACAAGTGAGCAGCCTGAACTATTGTCATCTCACCTGGCATGTGACCTGAGAGAATTTGGCTCTCTGTTCTTTCCTTTCTTTTGCATGGCCCTTTGTTCATTGTCTTTCAGCAGTGACTGATGTTTGAAATACATATGCTATTGCTGCTTACAGAGCTCTAGCACCAGAGGAAAGCAACCTGAGCTTTAGAGACACTTCAAAAGCAAAAGGACATAATACCTATCTTGGGACAGCTATTTAGGCAGGTCTTTTTATGAGTTCTGTGTCTGGGAACATGCTAGTTGCCTAATTTTGAGCAGCCATTACCTTACCTTTAGTTTTGAGGGATGACTCAGCTCAGCTGGGACCTTTGCACTTCCATCAGGGAGGCTAACCGTCTCCATACCTAAGGGCAAATTGATGTGTGAAATACTTTTCAGAAAATCCTGATGCTAGGAGAAAAAACCTGCCCATTTTTTATGTAAATGGTTTGGTCAGAACAGGAGGAAAGTTTCTGTTGGTAGCCTGTGGAGTTTGCCTCTGGAAGGTCAGACTGTAAGCGTTCCAGAAAAATTCCAGTGAGATTATTGTTACAAATGCTAACTTGTCTTTTCTGTTCTTTTTCTTATTTTTTTTTCCTATTAATTTATCTAGTTTTATCATGCAGGAAGATGAAAAGACATTCAAGTACCATGAAAGAAAGCTTGGAAAACAGGCAAGTGCAGAGAACCTGGCAAAAGATTACCAGGTGTGTAAGCTCAGGGAGGCTCAGCTGGCTTTTGGCTGGGTCGGAGGTTCCAGGGTTAAACTGAATGAGATACTTGTGCTGGCCACTTAGGAAAGGCAGATGCACAAGTGGAATTTTATTTCTATGCTTCTTGTCCCTCTGTAACTGAAAGACATCTAATAGCAGGAATGCTGTTGCCTCTGATCCCTGGAGGAGGAGATGGTTCTGTAAGGCAGAGCATGCATGAGGAAAGATGTTAGCTTCCTATTCTGTAGTACTTTCCCTGATTTGTTGCACAGCATGACAAATAGATCATGGTTCTATGATCTATTTGTCACTTCCATGATGTTTATATGTTTTGTAATACACCCTAGAAGTAGAATCAAGGCCAAGTGCCAAGATAGTTAATTCCACTTTCCTGAGTTTCCCATAAGGTTTAAGTTATGTATGGCAATTACCTCCTTTAAACTGTTAAGTGTGCAGAAAGTAGTTATTGCCTGCTGCCTTTCTACCTGCATCATGGCAGGGGCAGTGAACCTTGCTATGCCTTTGCTCACAGGGTGACACAAAAGTGCTGCTCACCTTCCTGCTGCTGTAAGAGCCGTGACGAGCTGCACTGCCAGCCCAGTGGTGCTGGGCTGTGTGCATGCACGCAACTGCCAGCAACTCACTGCCTGAAGAGTTGAGGCAGAAAAGGGTAAGGCACTGGTGTATCGTCATTATGGCTGTTATACAGAGGAGGAAAAAAGACAGAAATGAAGTGGCTGGCCCGAGGTCACCCTGAGGAGCCGGAGTCACTGTAAGGAACTGGATCCCCCATTTAACTTACATCTCCATCCCACAATGCTCTGTGTTAAATAACACACATTTTGCAGATTTATTTTACAGTTTAATTTCCTCATGCTGCTAGAACAATGCCAGTCTCTGGCCATGCTTGCTCCATGTAACTTCAAGGGCTCTGGCAACTTGAGCAAACAAGGAAAACCACAATCGAAGGTCAAAATATGCTGCTCCTTGCTCGAACTTCTAGCTTTTTTCTTTCTGCTGAAGGTGGCTGGTTGCTTTTTAAGTATCATGATCTGATTAGCCTTCACTGGACCTGTTGTATAATAATGAACCTAAACTTAAGCTTAATAGTCTGAGGCTGCTGTGTGACTCCATAGGGTGATATAGTACCTCCTGATCTGCTTGCAGGACACATTAGAAGGCCTCTGTACTGAAGCTGGTGGGCTTAATTGGTTCTGGTGTTTTATGCCAGTGAATTATCAAATGTCCTGAAGTGAGTCCCATGTCCCCAACATAGCTCCTGAAGCCACATGTACAGACTTCACTGCATAGGGCCCGTGTACTTGGGTCTGCTTTAGGCTGCTTGGTTTGCCTCAGTGATTCCTTCCTGGGATTCCTGGCACACTTTGAGATACAGCTGTCAGTTTACAGGATAAAGCTGACGTATCTGACCCATATTTAATAGCTAGACCACCATCCATCCCAACAATCCATAGTGAGCAGACAAAACCAGAGGGCAGTGTACAAGCAGGTGATGAATTTCTACTCCTTCCCAAAGAGCTGGGCAGGGAGGAGGGGGCATTCTCCAGACCACATCTTTCACAGCTGGTCTGGGGAGCCACAGCAAAGCGAGGTGATAGGAATCGAGCTCAAAACTTATAAAATTGGTGCCCATGGCTAGAGATATTGCTATAAAAATGCCCACTCTTAGCCTTCTAGGAAAATAAAATAGTTAATGGTGAAAAACTAGGGTGTTTTTACAATTGCATTTAAAGCCCTAGGGGAGCCTGTAATGGGCTAAATGGACTATTTAGAGAAAAGCCCACATGTTTTCCTCTTTTTTTTGTGTGTGTGTTTTAATTTACTGTGTGTAGCTGCCATTATCCATAAACCAAAACTTATGACTCTGTTACAACAGGAGAACACTTTATTGTCTGCTGTTGGCAGATCACCCAAAGTCCCCTCCCAACTTAACAAGCATTAAGCTTCAATAAGACACAAGACACTTCAGAAAAAAACATCGCCACAAGGCTAATGATGACAACAGCTGCCAGCAAACTTTCCATTGCAAGCAAGTAAAGACTTGAAACAAATTTTAGCTCAAGTTTTGTTTTAGTAGCATCAGTGACATGTCTGTACCGGCAAAGGCTCAAATTGCATTCCTTAACACTAGGACTGTAGACCTATCTCCTGGAGTCATTACATTGCAACAGCCTGGTAGTCATGAGTAGAGTTGTGAAGTCTTTAATGAATCTGACCTTTTTCTTCTTTTAGGAGGTATTTATGCCCTAAAAGGCCAGAGAGGCAAGTCACTGGAGTCTCATACAAATGAGAATTTCTGCATGCCAAAGAAAGTTAAGGTGACTTTTATGTTTAGAGAAGGTCATGAGAAGGAGGTTGTGGGTCTCAGCAAAGCTGGAGAGTCAAGAACTTTGTAATTCTGTTTACTTTTCTGATACTAATTTTCTTCTCAGTAAGTAACTTAAAGTCCGGTCTTCATCAGCGACCTAACTTACATGAATAAGAGCTCTGTGCAGTATGAGTAGGTGAGGTCTGGCCTCCCTTCGTTTTTCCAATCTATAGATCTGTGCCAATTTACTCATATACATCTCCCAACTGGGTAATGAAGTTGCTCAATGTGAAGTTGCTCTATAAAGAAAACCTTGAAGAAAATTAGATTAAAACAATCCCAAACACTTGGTAACAGCAAAATGTCTGAACAACATAACTGCATCATGGTACAATACAGACAGTGAGCACTGCTTGGTAGGAAGAGGAGTTTGCCCTGTCTGTTGTTCATGCACTCTGCCTTCTCAGAGCAAGTGTTGCCATTTTGCTCAGCATCTTCAGGTGCTGCAAGGAAGTAATGAACAGGACCAGGCTGGAAAGCCCTTCTGACATCCTGACTAATGTTTCTGTCTTATGCAAAGAATGATCACAGAATGGAGACTGTCTTGCAGAAGTGGAATTAGCCATTGGGTAGGAATGAAATTTACTTAAATCTGCTCCCTGACTGTGCTACAGTCAGGAACATTTTCATGTCAATTGTCTGACTGAAGTACAGTTTTGCTATGTGTAACCTCAGCCAGAGACAGAGGTTGCATTTGCTGTAAGAAGACTCATGAAATTCTGGGACAGCCAGACTGCACCTCCTTTACTTGCTGGAGCACAGGCCAGAAAGCTGCCTGAAATGACATGTACTTTCTCACCTGTGTGACTGCAGTTCTGTCTCTAAAGTACAGTTCAGCAGCCTACATATCCTATACTGTCTTGCTGCAGGCAACAGCCTTTTTAGAAGGTTCCTAGGCTGACTTGTCTGCATTGTACTGACCATGTCTGCATTGTACTGACCATGTAATTTTGCTGCATGGAGATAAGAGCAGATAATTTGACCTGAGGTAACATAGCCTATGGGTTGGCACATACTTGAATCTGGGATAAGGAATAGTGTGGCTCCAAATTTCTGCTTGTTTGAAGCTCCTGCATTTTGAATATTAGTACTCAAATATTTAGGTGAAATGAATTTGAGCTTAAGCATGTGGTGAGACCCAAGCTTGAAATGCAGTCAGGAAGTAATCATGGTGGTGTCTATACCCATGCAAACTACAGTGCAAAGTCCCGTTACTGAAGCTGCATAGAGGCATCATGATGTGAAGCTTCGTCTTTTGCTTCCTTATGGTGTCACCAGTAAAACACTGGGCTAATATAGCTTGACCATTATATCCTATGTTGAATTTGTACTACATGAGGTTAGAAAAACAGCTTTAAGAAAACTTAACCCAAGAATATTTAAGTCACTAAGTGATCATAAATACCAAGCCCCATGTTACTGTTTTTACCATTTTTCAGACCATAACTGTACTATACCGTTTGCATCTGGCCAGTATACAGAACAATATTTAAGCAATTGCCAGGTCCACCAAGTTAAAGCTCTTTCTTACTCTACAAAAATAGAGACCTTCTAAGGGGTTGCTACAAAGATGTTTTATATATGTGGTTCTTTCATCAACATACAAACAATAGGACAGCAAAAGGAGTGTGTTGTTAAGGGGCTTACACTGACTAAAGTGAAAAAAAAGAGCTAACTAAAAGTAAAGAATACTGTACTTGAGAATTTCTGCTGAGTATTTTGTATAGGAAACCTGATACTAAAGCTGTGAAAAATCCTCATCTGTATTTTAGGGATGTAGTCATGGTTACTTATATACAAAACATTTGCCAGTCTTGATTATTTAGGATACATTTCTTATATTCATTTCTTTTAGAATAGAACAAGACCAAATTCCTCCCACATTTGGCCTAAATGAAACTGACTTGGCCTGATTTATCTTTTATTTATTTTCTATGGGACATGTTGTGGTATTAATTTAGGCAGGACACTCCTCATTGTTTTCCCTGGCTAGTCCTGCTTAAAACATGGATCCACATTACACTATCCTAATGATGAATTTGGAGTGAGTAATAAGATCTGAAAGAAGAGACAACCTGATTTTGGAAACCAGTTACTTTTTATGCATATTTGACTTTAAAAAAAGAACAAAGAGACAAAGTTCAGTTTGAATTGTGCCACACAAAAGCAGCACTTTCATATTCCCTGAGAAAGGAGATTAATTGGGGGGGGGAGGAAAAAAAGAAGGGGAAAAAACCCTTGAATTGTATCCTCCCACGAGGACATTTAATTTAATAAAGCATCCTCCTCAGGATTGCTCCACTGTTGCTTAGGTGCCTCAGGGGGAGGATTCTTCCTCATGAGGGGGAGGACCTTGGCCAGGCATAAGGGAGATGCTAAGGCTGGGTGTTAGGGAGTGGATTTGTCCCTGAGGGCAACCTTCTCCTTTCCAAACAGCTGTATGGATTTCTAATGCAAATTTTGTCTTCATTATGTGGATGAGAGGATTCATTTTAGGTAGGTCAACTGTTTCACACTCCTTTCTGAATTCCCCTGGCTAGTCTACTTGGTCTGGCAGTTTGCAGAATTGCCCACCTTATGACTTAGTGTATACCTGCCACCCCCCTTCATCCTTTCCCCCAGGCAGTGGGATGTAGGATGGTAACAGTGTAATTGAATTGTTGGCGAGTTGTACAAGGGTAGTCTGAGTTTTGGCTTTGGTGGTCCACTGTCGGTAATGCCAGCAAGAACAAGTTAGCTCTTCTGCCTTTCAGGGTGGACTCCTCCTTGTCACACCACTTTGGCAAATTCTTGTTTCAGCATCAGTTTACAAAGTAGAAGCAAAAGACAAACTCTACTATATGATCCTAAACAAGTGAAAGAGAACTTTCTCTGTCAACCTCAACATGAGCAAGACTGGAATGAAGCCCCCTTCCCCAGCTTTTACAGTAGTGCATAAGTCTTTCAAAATCTGAAATGGTGCTTGGTCAGTGTATACCTGTTGCACACTGCTTCCAGTCTGGCAATGGGCGCTGTCCAGGAAATGGCAAAGCAGAATCTAGAGTACACAAATAATGCACACTTCTATCTAGGAGGGACATTCTGTGGACATGAAATAAGATGTTACTTGTTACTAAAATATTTTAGGCCAAACAAACTAAGAAAAGCGTCAGGAATGATCAGGTTTTCAACAAACTTGCATGGGAGAAAACCCTTGCTAGGTCATTGTCATTCTTGTGCAGCATCTTGAAGGATGATTAGATACTTTCCTGGCTTTGGGGAAAGGACCAATCCTTTGCTGTTTCTATTTTTTCTTCTTTCTATTTTTTGGGTGGGTGGGGTAAGGTTGGAAGACTATATGGATAAGTGATTGTGTGCCTTTGATATTCTTTACGCTCTTGCCTCCCATGGCAGTCTTTCAGGTTTGCCCTGCCTATTTGATTGAGTTTTCAGGAGGAAATATGAAGGAGGAGAAGCCAAAGAGCTATGGGAAGAAGGGCACTGAAATGCTTTTACATCCAGCAGCAGGATTGCATTTGGCAACACAAGCATGCCTGTAAGCCAAGCTTCCTCTGATTAAACGTTTTTGGCCAAATATCAGAATTGGTAAGTATATTGCATATTGAACTCCTTTTCAAAAGCATAATGAGAAAGAAGGGGGAATACTGTTCAGTTTAGGAAAACCTCGATAGCACTGTATTTTGAAACCTAGTTACTGAAAAACGTGGGAAGTGGTGGCTGACGGTGACAGGGCCGCTTAACCAGACTTCGCAAGAAAAAGTCCGCAATACCACCAGGTGGCGCGTAAAGCCCAAAATAACCGTAAACCTGCCCAAACCGCAGGGCTTTCAGTGCCATCTAGTGCCGCCACCCGCCGTTGGCTTGGGGCGAGGAACATCCCATTCAAGGAAGGCCTCCAGGATGGATGCCTTCTGAAGGAGCAGGTTATGCTGTCTGTGTGCAGCATGTGGAACATATGTAGTGGTTTGAGATGAGGAGTGTGTCTGGAGAAGGTATTACCATCTTGTAGTACTCTGACTCCCTTCTTCTTGCATTTTTCCCTAAACATCTGACCCTTATGGACAGGGTACTTTAGCTGTTCTTGTGGTAATTTTAACAGTGTTGACATTTAATACAAAAAATCATCAGTTGCAAGTAATACCTACAAGTAGAAAGGGGTGGGCAGTGAGAAAATAAATACATCTTTTTCAGTATCCCTTTCAGAGTGATATTTTGCAGGCTTACAAGCCTCCAATAGAAGTTTACATTAATGAGTTATTATTATAGCTATTGCCATTGTACTTTGTTTGCTTGCCTTTTTCCTGTAACAGTAAAGCAAACAGAAGGGAATGACTGTAGGCAGTAATTTTCAAGGATTCATTTTGAACAACAAATAGTCTGTTCCTTCTGCTTTGCTGCTGAGCTTGCACATACTTACTGGCAATCTCTGTTGTTCATCACAGGGGAAAAATTTTAAAGCAAATGAACATCAAAGAAGTAGTGAGAGAAGGATTGGCAGTTTCCACATTAGACTATCCTATGAAAAAAAAGAAAGAAAGTTGTTTTATCTCTGAATGGATTGGACTTACTCATCTCTCCACAGCTGCCTGCTTTACACAGTCCTGCAGCTTGCCTGAGCATGCATGTTTTCTGAGTGGGAAATGTCCTGTCCTGTTATGTCAGCTCCTTTTCCCTTAAAAAGAAGAGCTAACAGCAACGTTCTCTTGTGGAGCAGTGATTTTCTACATTTATCTGCTTCGTTGCACACTGAGCACTTGCCATTTCCAACAGAATTAAAATCTTCCTAGTAGTTGAAACAGGTTAATTTCAATTAATTAATACAATGAATGGTTACAGGCACTGCCTATTAAGTCATCATTTTGCATAGCAGTCTGTTGGTCTTATGATGTTGTTCCCCCATCCATGCCAGTTCTCTATTCCTCCCATGGATCAGAATCGTTTACCTACAAGGAACAGGCAAATACAGGCATTGTCGTGTTTTCAGGCAGTTTTTTCCCCTCCATCAGAGAGGTTGAGGTGTGCTTTGGTCTGTAAAGGACACCTGAGCCACCTAGAGGGCTGAGGGTAAGGAGCCCTCCCCGGAGGAAGGTCAGTGAATGAGTGAGGAAGAAGGTTTTCTGTCCAACATGAGTGCCCCAGGAGCTCACTAATTTTCCCTGGTTCAAGGGACACACAGAGACCCAGCTGGAGTCTCATGAGCCAGCTGAGTAATGTCTTGCTCTGAGTTTTGAGTATATAACAAAAGGAGGAAGAATATTTCTAATTAGCTCACCTTGAAAAAAGGTGGGGAAAATAACAGTCTTTCTTGCCACTATATATTTATTTAATATTTGTTACATAATTGATATGCATTTTTTTGGCTCTTGGTGTCAAAAGTAAGTGCCATACGCAGGTCTCAGGCCCCAGTTTAGGAGAAGGCAGTGAGAAACAGAGCACTTTTGCTAGCTTGACTGTAACGACTTCTCAAAATTAAATGCATGCTAGAGATTTGGGAGTTCAAGCACTTCTGTAGAGTGAGGTCTCTGCTGAACTATTTTGCTGAGTCAAGGCCTGGGACACATGTAAGGCAAGGACATCCAGTAGAGTAGAAGCATGACTTAAGTATGTACTCCCTTGAAGACGCTTGGAATGGATACTTGTGCCTGCAGTAAAGACTGTCTGATTCTTCCCAGTGAGAAAATGGGGGCAGAGTAAGTGGGAACAGATGTGGGGATGAAGAGAGGAGCCAGGGAGAGCAAGAACAACAGAGTTTTCAAAAAAAAAAGAAAAAATACTATTTTCTTCTGTGATTGAACTGTGCTTTCCCAGCTTTCATCTGTCATTTGCTGTCTACCAAATAATAGCTTTGAAATGTACTTGGTAAAGATCTGTCTCATGTCCTTCCCATGGCTGGGTATAGACAATAGTCTTCTACTCTGTCACCAAGTGCTCAAGCAGATTAGGACAATTGTAGGCTGTGCTGTCGATCTAAGGTTTTGGGACCTGATGACTACTTATGAAGTTTTCCAGTACTCTCTCCCTCACTTTTTTCTTTAGTGGAATTGCATGTAAAAATTACATTATTTAGCTTGCAAGTGAAGCACTAGAAAAGAACAAAATATCAGAAATAAGTTGTCTGTGTTACATAAATTATCCTCTTCCTTCTGTGTCCATGACGTTTACGTGATTTTTCCCACAGGATCCTTAACTGTATGAGATGGGTTGTATTCTCAGAACAAATCAAGATTCTGTCAGTCTCATCTCTGGGAAGATGAAAGGATGAACCCAAAGCAACAGTGTGAGCCACTGAAAGGTTGCAGTTTGCTATAGTAGCTGTGTTAAAATCCAGCTACTGTAGAAATTAATAGATGCTAGAAGCAAAAGAAATCAGATGCTTACTGTTTTTCATCTTCCTTCTCTTTTTGAAACTTATAAAACAATGTGGTTTTGCTTACGCTTTTTGAACCAGGCAGGTGGTGAATTCCCAAGTGGATTGTGTGTTGCCTGAACTCTCTGCTGTTTGATTTGTCTGGTAATTAAAATCTCAGGTAAATTACATGGAAAACTTGTGCTGACTGAGTCCTCTCATGGCTTGGGTAGTCCAGGTAGATCAAGCAGAGAAGAAGAGGCAGGGGCTTCTAGTCAGATGAGAACCATCAAAGTGTATGCAGGTTGGCACTGGTGCTTGCTGGTTCTTTGCAGACAACACATGAAAAGCAGAGCCCTTCAGGTGCTCATTTCAACAAATGGTATTAAAACCTCAATAGGAACTATGTGAAAAGATTAAGTTTTATTCATGACCTTTCTGGGCCAGTGGGGCCACATAGGTTTAAGTAGGTGATATTTAAAAGATCCCATTTGGTCTTCCCTGTTGGAGATACTGGAAGACGTGGTTATCTCAGAAAGTATCAAGTGCTGTAACAGGCGCTCTTTAGAGGTTTCTGAATGGAGACCCAAGTGCCACCTGAGATTCCTTGGAGAGAGGATTTGCATGCCTAAATGCAAATGCTTCTCATACCCAGGAACAGAGACTGACTTTGCGACCTTGGCAGATTTTCCTTAACTCATTAGATTCCTGCTTCTTAGAGAAAGCTGGACAGAAAAGTGTCATCAACAGAGCTGAGCTGAAGACTAGAGCTTTATATTTCTGCTGGGCTACTTCTGCATCCCTGTGTAAACTAATTCTGACTTAAGGATTCATCTCAAGGACTTTCAAATATGCCTACTTCCCAGCTGGATGCCATGAGCCAACAGTCGAAGTAGAAATGGTCTCCCTAGAAAACAATGAAGAGAGGGATGTGAAGGATAATTGGTTTTACTGGGTGAGGTAAACCATAATTGCAATATGCGTGACCTGTAGTGCTTTTTCTGGGGAACATAGCCAAAATCTGTTAGACTCGGTTAATTGTGGAAACTCTTATAGCAAACATATTCTTTCAAGTTTGCTAATCTTTCCCCATTGTAGAAGTTTGTCTCAGCAAATGAAACACATCTTTAAATTCATCAGATGACTTTAATTTTTAAAGCATACACTAAATCAATGTTTGAGCAGGCAAATAGGACCCTGGTGTTGCTTTTGTCTTGTCATGGAAGGTCTTTGTGGCCTCATCCACACTCAGTAAATTTATAATCACCCTCAGGGTGATCTGGCAGAGACAACAGCATGGGGGCAGTGCCACTGCTGCCCTGCAATAGCAGAGGAACTGCTGGCAAGGTTTGGCTGTACAGCCTTTACCCTTGCTGTAGAGATGTTTTACTGAAGTACTTTTAGAAATGAATGCAGCCATTTGTTTTTGCATGCTCTTCTTCATAGTAAATACATTTCAGGCAAAAGCTGAGCAAGGAGAAATTTTTTTCCAAGACAAAAAATGCTGATGTGGTGACTGTCTCCTTCAATATAGACATAAGGAAAGGCTGAAGCAAAAGATCTGTCCCCCATTATCCCTTTTGTCATTGCCCTGAAGACCTTGTTCTCCACTGAAGGAGAGTTCACATAAAGCGCGAGAAAGCCCCTGAAGAGTGAGGAATTAAGATTTATTTATTTGAGACCTTATTTTTGCTGATGAAGGTTATCCCAGGATATTCAGCAGATAGGAGACTAGAAAGTTGGTACAGTGGTGGTTGACTCAAAGATAAGGCTTAGAGTTCATATAAGGAAAACAAAATCTCTTCATATTGTGAATAAACCATCAAGGCACTACTCCTGTACTCCTTTCAGAGCATCGGTTTCTTGCTGCCAGTAAAAGCACACCAGCATATCTTATAAAAACTGTCTGCTAACCTTGTTACCAGAATTACCTGCACTCAGTAGCAGATCTTTTACTCTCCTCTCTTGACCTGCCTGTGCTGGATTTCTTTCCCCCACTATTACTACAGGATTTCTTACTTATAAAAAGAACACCGTCTTGCATACAAATCTACATATGGGGGAAAACTTGGTCTGGGACAAAAACATCTGCACCCAAGATACTTGCACTTTCAACCTGCTCTCATACAGAAATGCATGTTATCATCATGCTGCCTATGTGCCTGTCTTTCAGTGCTCTGTAACTTTTGGATTTGATGACTGTTTGATGAAGGAAGCTTGCTTCTGTGTTTAGTGAAAATTAGTAGCCAAGCAGAGTTGAGTGGCCCTACTTATTTTTCTGATGAAAGAAAGTCTTCATTATGAGCAAAACATTCTTCCTGGACATCAGAAAATCCTCACAGGAGAGAAAAGGAGCTGATAGATGCCTCAACCACAGGAAAAGTTTCGATCAGAGCTTGCATCTTATTAGACACAGTATAATTTAACCACAAGACACAAAGCCACAGGAAACTGGACTTCATTTTCTGTAGCTTCTTGTTTTCTTAAATCAGAATGTTTGGGGTTTTACTCTCTCTTCACTTCCAGAGAATTATTACT